ATGATGATGATGATGATGATGATGATGATGATGATGATTACTTAATTACTGACTTACTTTACTTTATCCGTCCTCTGTACCTCTATGGCGACGAGGGACGAAAGAACTTCCCGAATTATTTAATTAACTATCTTAAAACCAGGCGCTCATATGACCGTATGCAGTTGCGAGCGCCGAAAAAACTTCTACTATCTTAATTAAAACCTGAGTATTCCTGGGTATTTTTTTTCTACACCTCTAAATCACACACAAGAAAGGATTTTCGCTCCTCTCTTCCTATACACCTCTTCCCATCTCATTTGCCATCTAGATAACAATGTTTCTTAGTATCACCAGCGTCTGTAGCGTGGCTGTTGAACATATTCATGTCACGAACTTAAGACCTGGGTTCGAATCTGTGGCGTCGGTGGCCTAGTGGTTAGGCTCTCGGACTCGCAACCGTTAGGTCGTGGGTTCGAATCCCGTCAGGGGCCCGACGTTGTGTCCTTGGGAAAGGCACTTTTCACAAATTTTCCTCACTTCACCCAGGTGGAAATGGGTACCCGTCTATAGACAGTGAACGATCTTGTCAGTTTGATAGTGTTTGAGCGCGTGAAATCCGCAGCTTGCACTGTATGCTTCCGCGGAAGCCGAGTATGTTTCTGAGTGTTCTCAGAGGGTCTGCAGGGGTAATAATAGTTGTAAAGCGCATAGAGCATGCTCTTGAGCATAGATATGCGCTATATGAATACAATTATCATCAATTATCAATTATCATCTTATGTGGGGAGGGTTATGTTACTGACTGTTTCCATCTATCTGTCTGAAAGGACATTGTGTCTGCTAGCTGTCTCTTAACCCAGGTTGGCTGTATCAGACAGGGTAAGGGTGGCTTATGGTCTCAGTTATCTCAACTGTGTCTAGATCTATCGGTCCATAAAATATATAGAAGTGGGTGGTTGGCGGGGGCTCTGGTGTGGTCTGCTTCTTCTTTACTATCAAACATCTATCGTCTTTAACGCCCCTCCTTCTTTTTTGTGTTTGTGTTTGTTACTCTCTTGTAACACCTCTAATCTTCTGGCACTCCTTAAGCAGCTGTAAGCCTCGTAATACTTCTGCTAAAACTTTTTAAAAGCCATTTAAAAATAGCAATAATTATTTTATTACTCGTCTCGTCGTCCATGTTTGTTGCGTGTGTTCTATTTCTGTTTCTCAAACACTTTTTATACCTCTAAAAACACCTTCACGTCTTCAATGATTGTTACTTGTACACGGTTTCTGTTTCTAAAGAACACTCTATACCTAAAAAAAACCCACCAAGTCAGATGGATAAGCCTGCAACTAGCACGTCCATACTACATGAATAAATGTACCTCTTCTTGTAAATATGATTGTAATAATTATAATTATTGTACCTTTTTACGCTCAACATGATATAATTTTCATCCTTTAGAATTCTACTGATTTTATCTTGTCTCTTAGGGTCAAACTAGTCTGACTCTTTTAGTTAGTTTAGTTTTAGTAGAGGCTTTACGGAGCTAGCAACTGTATAAGGTCATTTGAGCGCCAGAAGATTAGATATGTTACAAGAGAGTAACAAACACAAAAAAGGGGGGATAAGGACGACAGGTGTTTGATAGGAAAGAAGAAGCAAACCACACCAGAGCACCCGGCAACCACCCACAGTTTAACTCTATTTTTTGTATGATATGTCTTGCTCTTCTTTTTTTTTTGGAACTAACAACGTATCTGAATAGGCTTCTCTCAGTCAAAGCTAAACTCACGAAGTGATATAGAAGTTTCATTCTCACACACCCATCCTACCTTCTACGTGTGAAACACATGCACAAACATGTACACACATACATACAAACACATAGGCACACACGTGTGTAAAAATAGGCACCTCCCCCCCTCCCC